TTATATCATATTTTATGGTATTTTGTCCTTTTTTTTAGATGAAAAGCCCTGTTTATCTTGTCATATTGGTTTGAAACAACAACAGGGGAATAAATAACATAAGTATTACGTATTACACCTTGATAGAATAAGTATTCCTCTTTAAAGAACACATATTATGCCATAAATCGCATGTTTATTTTAGATCTGTGTGGCAGCGGCAATATACAATAAATAAATCAATAAATCCACTGCTCTCTTGTTGTTGCGAAATCACAATGATGGCGCCGTGGGTGTAAACTTACAGATTAGGGGTGGTAATATTATAATGAGATCCCTTTGCCACGTCACCAAGGGAGCGAAATCAGACGCGCTGGTTTTCTCAGACGCTTGCAGAAAAAGCTTACCAAAACAAAGTTACTGGTTTAATCTTTTTCACCTTTCCTTGGTTGGTAGATGCACCGGGGACCTGATTATAGCACTTAAAACCTGGAAAAGTCAGATTTTCATGATATGTCACATGTAAAATACACCTGGAATGGCTCAGAGCGGGTGCCAGGAATTAAATAAGAAATTCCAATGGATACAAACAATAGTGTGAGGATGTGAAATTGAATAAATAATGACAATTAGCCTAAATAAGATTTAAAAATCCCATAAATGTTCCTTCTTAGTGATGTCTCTTGATAAGTATATGACTCTGAAGGAAAGATCACAGGAAGAACTTAAAACACCTTGAACAGGAAGACTGAAATCCAGCAGATGCACCTGTCATGATGTGAATCTCTGTGTAACGTCGTGTTTTGATTGCTCGTGTGTGTGTGTGTGTGTGTGTGTGTGTGTGTGTGTGTGTGCTGGAAACCAGGGTGCTTTTTGCATTTTGCATTTTGCAACACAGTAAAAGTGTGATTATGAAAAGTGAGGTGAGGGTGCGCCTGCAGTGTAGGTGTTAGTTAATGCCACTGCAAGAAACATCTGCTGGGAGAAAAGGGTCTATTTTTAAGAGGTTTACTGAAGGAAAGCTACGGCACACGCGTCTTTCTCTGACACATCCTTCTTTTTCCGCCTGCATAGATTGTCTGTGCCACCGGCAGCTTCGGATCGGACCAGCAGTCGCAGTGTCACCTGTGATTTTGGCAGGCGGTTTGTCTCATCTCCGTCTCATTGTGAGTGTTCCAGAACCTTCATTAGCAACTCGGCTCGTCACACTGCCTTTAAACGCTGATAATGTGATAATTAAAACAGCTGACGAGCACGAGCTGTCATCGCTGTGGCAACAAAAAGCCTCATTTACAGGTGGAAGAATAGCAAAGCATCATCCAGGTTTGCCATCCATCTCACGGCACACTATGATATAGCTGCTAAAAACCTGAGGAAAAATACTGGGTGGTACCATGAATAAATCAGATGAAATATACCATAGTACTCTGATACACTATCCTCTGGTTTCACAGGCAAAGCTTAAGGCTAGTCCCAGACTAAAATGCATATTTGAGCTGTCTCAACTAAAAATATCTTGCTCTGACATGTCTTAAAATATGTCAGTGACATTGTTCTGTCTCAAGATGCACACCTGTAATGTTTTCTTCTAAGGCATTTTTATAAAAGCTGCCTAAATGTCTTAATTTAACTAAGGCCTAGTCCTGGCTTAAGCCAAGTCCCGTCTGTGAAACCGGGCCTGAAGTTCAAAATTTGTTTTTTTTTTATGTTTGAAAGAAGACTCTTCTGCTCACCAAAGCTGCATTTATTTGATCAAAATGTATATTATTTAATATTGCTATTATTAATATTACAAAATTAATAGTATTGTGAAATATTATCACAATTCAAAAATATGCTGTTTTATATTTCTGTTTGAATTATATTTGAATTGCAATTTATTCCTGTGATGCAAAGCTGCATTTTCAGCATCATATGCTGCTCAAGAAACATTTCTTATTATTTTCAATGTTGGAAACAGTTCCAACTGTGCTGCTTCATAGTTTTTGGAAAACCATGATAATTTATTTTAGAATCCTTTGATGTATAGAAAGTTTTAAAACTTTTAAAAGTTTTAAATAGAAGTCTTTTGTAGCATAAATGTCTTTTCTGTTACTTTTGATTAATTTAATGTGTCCTTAGTGGTTAAAAGCATTATTTCTTTATCATATTTTCCAGCTAACTGGGAATGTTCTTTAAATGTTTTGGTAAGGTTCTCTCAAAGTTATGAACAAATGTTCTTTTACTTTAGTTGGATGTTAATCTAACATTTTTTAAATGTTACTTCTTTTGTACTGTTTAGAGAACATTCAAAGTGACATTCCCATTATGTTTGCAAAATGAAAAAACCGTTCACATAACCAAGAGAAAAAAAATGTAATTTTTAAATTTTTAAAATACTGGATGCTTTGAACATTCAGAGAACATGCAGAAGTAACGTTTTCATAACTTAATGAGAATGTTCTTAGAACAAAACGTACTTGGAACATATTTTTGATTTTTGTTATTAAATTAGTCTTATCTGATTCAAATAGTCAAAATAGTCAATAGTCATTCCCGTTGGAATTCTTCCCAACTTTCACCTCGGCGTGTAACTGGACTCATGTTGAGCGTGTGTGAATCACTATAAGAGTATTAGGTGGCAGATAAATGCATTTCCCCTTTCTCTTTCTTTCAACTACACAATGATTTATTACCTGAAAAGACCAGAGAACTAATTAGTGGAGTAATTAATTAATTTAAATTTGCATATTTGCATTTGCAATTAGTGCAGTCAACTGATTAGTCTGAAATGAGGAGTTTGACTCATCAGATGCTGGTGTGAACTGGACCAGAACGTGCAGAATGCCAGCTGAGGCGTTTTGGGGGGCAGAGTGTGAGTGAACGTGTGTGTGTGCGTCCAAATGTTGGCGTTTTGGGGACTGCCCTCTGCTGCACAGAGAAATACTTGCTGGAAAAGTAGTAGTTTGTCTGCAATATGATTTAAAGACGATGAAGCGTAAACTAAACACAGCTGCACTTCTAACAGTCGTCTCGCAAGACTGCACTACAGAGATTCATAGTTGTCATACACTGTGGGCCTAAACTACAGTAGCACTTAACTTAACACAACAATATCTAACACCAGCATAACCATGGTACTACCATGTTGGGAGGTTTATCTGTAGGAAAATATGTGTTATGTGCTTGGTACTCTTACAAGTAGAATGGAGTAAATACTATGGTAAATGTATGGTAATTATTCAGTGTCTCAGAATAGGGGAGACCAGGCCACTTTCAGTGAGTATTATCTTATGAAGTC